TCAGAGAGTGTAGATGCATTGAAGAGGAAGCTAGACCTTCACATGAGGGAGAGGGAAATAGAAGAATACGGGAGTGAGTAAGAAATGGTTTGGGACGAATGGCCTGGTTCTATGCTGTACATTCTTTGATTATTGTACTACCCTGGGTTTATGGGTTTCACAAAATGAATGCACAAAGTGCAATTCACAATGAGTAGCACATAGCAGACGAGAGCGGGGAGTCTAAAATACCCACTGCTCACAGCTGAAGCATCTATGATGTTATTAAATTCAGTTAATTTCATTCTGAAACTTTCATTAAATACGTATCCTTCAAATAAATTTGCCACGGGATGCTTTTGAGACCTAGTTTAAATTAAATTGTTACATTTGAATAAAGGTTCTGCGGGTATGACTTTCTACAATTTAATTTTTGAGCATTTTTGAGCTCTTTTTCACTGAATTTAAAGAAATAAATGTAATTTATTGCAGAGAATTTATTTGTGTTTCAAAGCTAATGTAGATAGTTTCAGTGAGCTACAAGAACTATATATTTACTTGAGAAATTCTGCGTTGTCATTTCAGTGAATACAGTTGTTTATTTCTAACACTTTACTGAATTAATTTGATTTCTCAGTCACATTCCCTGAGACATCAGGCTGCCTGTCACAGAGAGGATCGACTTCAAGATCCTCACCCTTGTCTTCAAATCCTTCCACTCTTCTGCACCCCCCTACCTCTCTGACCTCTTCTCTCTTCAAAACAGTACCCGTTGTCTTCGTTTCACTGGGTCTTGCCTCCTCCTCGTCCCCCCAGATCCATTACTGTGAAGCGCTCTTAGAAGCCGTCCGGCATGGAGGGCGCTATATAAATCCAAGTTGTTGTTGTTGTTGTTGTATTGGTTTACACTTTAATAACATGCAGGTGGGATGCACATATGGAACTCTCAGTCTGGTTTGGGTTCTGTTAAGCATGGGTTAACATACTTAGTGGGTTTCCACATCTGCATCCATGTGTATTAGACACCCACCAGACAACAAAAGGAAATCAAGCACTATTCACTCAAAATAACAATTGTTTCATTACTCAATAATAATAATATTGCATAATCCCAATATAAACAAAGAAAAAAAATTACTGAGAAGTGGATTTGTGGGTGAATGCAGCAGCCAGTTTGTGTACAGCAATGTCACGCAAACAGCCATGAAGTGAATGACCAGTTTTTTATTTGAGGGATTGTTGGCCAAGACACTGGGAGAAACTCTCTTCCCTTTTTGAATAGTGACATAGGATCTTTAGACCGACAGATAGGACCTGGTTTAATATGTCTCATGTGAAGGACGGCACCTCTGACAATGCAACACACCCTCAGCGCTGCATTGGAGTGTCAGCTTAGTCTACGTGAGTCCAAGTCCCGACATGGAGCTTGAACTCACAATCTTTTGACTCAGAGGCGAGAGTTAGCCAGGCTGTACACCAATCTGAATCAGTAGTATCCCACAAACACCAATAATTTACAATACCTTACATATTTACATATATATAGTGCCTTTCATGTCAGGAGAAGGACTTCCCAAGGTGCTGAACAATCAAGGGTTTGCACCTGAGCTGGTGCTAGGGCCTGAGTGGGTGGGGGGAAGTGGGGTAGATAAGGGAAAGAGGCCAAAAATGCAGTCAAAGAAGAAGGTCTTGAGATGGACCTTGAAGGAGGTGAGGGAACGGTGGAGGTGAAGGGACTCCAGGATGGAGTTCAGCAAGTGGGTAGACAGCCATTGGTATGAAGAGTGGGGATGGGCATGAAGAAGGCTGATGCGTAATGAGCAAAGGGAGTGGCCGGGTTGGTAGGGTTTGAGGAGGTGCAGAGGTAGATGTAAGACTATGAAAGGATTTAAAAGTGAAGACAAGATTTTCAACTCAATCCTCTGGGGGATCGGGAGCACTGTAGCCGAGCGAGGATGGGCTTGATGGGCGTAGGAGAGGAAACAAGGTGCAGAGTTCTGGATAATCTGAATTTTGTGAAGGAAAGAGGTGGGTAATCCAGCCAACAGAGAGTTTGTGTAATCCAGCTTGGATGTGATGATTATGTGTGTGGATAAGGACTCAGTGGCCTTAGTGGAAATGTAGTGGCGGAGCCAGTCAATGGGGAAAAATTAGGCGGGTCAGAGCACAAACATGGGTTGTAAAGGACAGTTGAGAGTCAAACTAGTCACCAAGTTTCTACACTGGCTCCACAAATGTGGCATCCATTTAGATTGATGCCTAAGGTGAGAAGGCGCTGATGGGAACCAAGCAGGAGGATCTCTGTCTTTTTGACACTCAACTGGAGAAAGTTAACTCTCATGCAGGACTTGCCTGACGGGCAATCAGTCAGGACAGCAGTGGTCCTGGAATCAAGGATGGAGGTACAGAGATAAAGTTGGGTATCATCTGAATACATGTGGAAGTTAATCCAATGTCAGCAGATGATGTCACCAAGAGGGAGTATGTAGATATTGAGGAGGAGACGATAGAGCCCTGAGGACATTGGGGAGGGGGGCAGGAAGAGAAGCTGTTCAAAGGCACCAAGTGGAGATGTTGGGATAGGTAAGAATGAAACCAGGAAAGGACAGAACCATTGAAGGTGGAGCTGAAAGTGGAGAAGGATAGAGTGGTCAGTAGTATCAAAGGTGGCAGAGAGATCAAGTAGGACAATAAGGCAGAGAGAGCCCTGGTCACAGATAGAGAGAATGTCATTGATCACTTTCACCGGGGCAATCTTGGTGCTATGATCCAGTATCTATTAATGCAGTGATTTATTGTTTTCTTTTGGGAGCTTTGGATACAGGAGAAATATTGGCCAAGAAACTAGAGAATACACCTGTTCTTCTTTGAAATAATGAGAATGGGATATTTATTATCCCAATGTACCCCATCTCATTATAAATTCAAACAGATGCCATTTAAAATGTGCGTTTTGAGAGACAACAGCAGCAAAAAAGCATTACAGGTAAATTGGATTGCGTGATTTATCTATATTCTTGTTTTATTTAGAATGTCAAACGTCAGGCAACTAGAAATTTGAATTGTGATATCTATGGCAAATTCAGCATACCTTTGGCAAATTATCTATGGCAAATTATAACCTTTGCTCCCCTACTGCAAGTCTGAAGGTTGTTTTACAATCTTCTATAACAAGGTGAAAGCTGCTTCATAGTAAAACATGAAAGGTTTTGGTGTTCATTCTGTATTTATAATAACCCATGCTAGATATCAGAACTATGCATTTTGAAACTACATGACCTTTGAGCAAATCTGTCTTCTTTAACTTGTGTTGTAACAGTCTTGACTTACCAGTTACCATTCTTAATGTAACAACAGATAGTGAAGGAGGCATTTTATCTATGATAGCAGTTAACAAAACTCATGCCTAGATGTTTGTGGGTTTGTTCTTGATTTCATCCATGCGCTGATAACTACCTGCTTGTCAAGCAACTGTGAGAGCTACAAAATTGAATGTTAATTTTTGTACCAGGAGAGATTACCCACCTCCCCCTTCGGTAACAACAACAACTCGTATTATGCATTCATATATATTGTCCTTGGTCATCTCTAATGTTGTTGTAACAATCTCTGAGTCATTCTCTCTGAGTCATTCTTAATATAACAGATAGTGAAGAAGGCTTCTTAGATATCATTTGCCCATTAAAGATAGAGCAATAAAGTGGGAGCAAAATGGAAGGATAGCGGCAAGAAATTACAGAGGTTAGGGGCTGAAGGCACAGCCACAGCCCTGAGACACGGAGCCAGTGGAGATTGGTGAGGTTTGGGTGGATGGGTGTGTGGAATTTGATATGGGTGAGGATCTCGCTAGCGGAGTTTTGGATGAGCTGGATCTTGTGTATGGTGGAACTGGGGAGACCAGCGAGGAGTGTGTTTGAGAAGTTACCTCAAGGCGGTATGTGACAAAGCTGTGGATGAACCATCAGCAGGATTTGGTAGTTTAGCGTCAGTGGCGGGCAATGCAGTGGAGGAAAGCAGTACCCAATATGAAATAGGAACAATAGCTGGTGATCAAACCACACGCCAAGATTTCAGTGATTCCAGACTCACAGGCTCAGTGAGTTTGAGAGAGTAGCTGGGGGAGGTTGAGGAGGTCGCAAATGTAAATTTATATTGTATTATATCTTCAGGAATGTCAACAGTAATTGTGACGAACTCTGGGCTGGGCTCTGCTCAAGCATTACTAGTATTGATTGTGTAGTCTGTCCAATGGGACCTGTATTATCTTACAGAAGAGAAAAATGATTTGTTTCATTACTACTCCAATGTGTGAGAATTAATTATGATAGCAGAGCTTAGCAACAAAGCGCTGTTGTGTAGTGAAGGTGGCACAGACAGAGCAACCGGTTAAACATTTCAAGAGAAGAGCAGAACATTTCGAGAGGCTTCATCAAATCAGTTCAGTGACATTCAAATTAATAATGACTGCAAACAGCAATTAAATCTTTCCTGCTTATTCCATTTTATTTTATTCTGCTTCTGAAAAGACAGGTGAATTAGGTTCAACAATTCAACAAGTCTGATCACCGTCAGAGCTTTAAAATTAAACACTGAAGATACTGCTGAATACGTGCCCGACTGTATGCAGCAATCACACTCTGCCTCAGTTATAACAAACTGTAGGAGCTTCCATGTTAGTTTGCATTACAAATAAACAGCCCATGTGTATTTCAGAGTACCTTGTGTAGTCAGGCAAACCGCAACATCAAACAAACTCCAGCACACAAGAACAACAACATACATATTTACAAACTTCGACCAAGTTGCCTTTTGTCAGTATAGTTATATAAAAGTAGAAAAGTATATTTATGTATAAAAATGCAGAGCACTGCAGACATTAAGGACATGTTAGAGGGTCCAAATGTGATTTTCCATTGTAAGCACATGGTGTCAAAGTGGCTAAAGAGGAGAGGAAAGAGATATTTGATTTAAAGATCTGATATCAGAAGCTTCTGACTGTCCAGCGCCTTGGGAAATCCTCCCGACGTGAAAGGCGTTATACAAATGTAATTTTGTTGTGTCGTTGTTCTTATGGATGTTAGCAAGGTTAGAGAGTTACAATTTAAAAAAAATATAAATCATACAATTACTACAAACAATCATATCAAATATTACTTAGACACACACTTAACTGCTTCTAATGTTTCTTTCGCATTGGAGATATTCTATACTGGCAAATCTTGAATGGTTGGTTGCCACATATGTGTGCAGTTAGTGGTTCTAAATTGTCACTTTCTTCCTAATGTCTTTGTTTCCTTCATCTGTTTCCACTCACCCTCTTCCACTTTATAAAGATGTTGCAAATGAACCTTTAACACAACTATCTGTTAAAATGCTTAAATAGGCCTGTTGTGTACTTCCAGGATTTGCTGTTTTTAAACCTATCTATAAGAAGCAGGTCAGTTCACAGTTTCATGATTAAGGGCCAGTCAATGCTGAAACCTCTGGAATTGCCTTCCTCTACCACTCTGTCTCGCCCTCTCTCTTTCTGTCTCAGATCCTGCCTCATTGAACACACCTATAGTCATCTCCCCTTTTCTCCCTTCTCCCCTCTCCCTTGCTTACATCTCACTCTGTACTTATAAAACTCTCTAAGATGTTACCCTACATGAACGGCATTATAGCAATCAAGTTCTTGTTAAAATCATACTGCTGAATCCCTCATTTCCTGGCAATGATGACTCTTGAAATGTGCCTCTAAGTTTGTTGTCATTTCTCCCTTTAGGGTAGGGGTGTTCATCTTGCCCCCCAATTGGATCCAATGGTGCTGGAGTACGTGCTGGGCTGTGTAACGTTTTTTCGGATCCACCACCAGAAGTTTGCTGATGAGTCCCTTGACGCCTGAGGAAACCAAATCCAGAAACAAAGTCATTCAACTCATACCGCCTACTGGCTAACCACAAGCACAAGACCTTTAGCAGCTGAGGATTACTTCAAAATCATTTCCTATGACAGTGGGGGTCATGGCTTCTTAATATCTCAACCTGCCTATAACATGGGCGTGATAGCCAGTTTCACTGGCTCAGTTAGTAGCACTTGCACCTCTGAGTTAGAAGATTATTGGTTCAAGCCCCACGTTATGATTTTGAACTCATATAGTCTAGGCTGTTACTCCATGGCAGTGATGATGGGAGTGTGTGCTGCATTGTCTGGAGATGCCAACATTTGGATGAAATGTTAAACCAAGGTGCTGTCTGCCTATTCAGATGGGCATTAAAGATCCCATGGCACTGCTCAAAAAGAAAAGGGAGTTTCTCCTGGTGTCCAAGCCACCAATCCCCCAGATAAAATTGTTCATCCTTTTCATGGTTGTTTATAGGACATTGCTGTGGGTAAATTGGCTGCCGTGTTCATCTATAAATACACATCAGCACACTTTCCAGTATATCCTGTGAAGCATGTTGATATGTCTTGTTTCAGTGAAAGATGTTATGTCAAATAAAAGTATTCTTATTCTTATTACTAGAAACAATCCAGCACAATAACAAAGTGCATTATAAACCCTGGCAGACACTGACAATTGGCAGCCACTTAGCTAAGTGTCTACCTCACACACATGAAAATTCATTCTTTCTGCCAATTGGAGAGGAGGAAGGAAAGTTAAAACTGTCACTCAATTTTTGGACTGCAAAATAGTCTTATCAATGAGCCTGCCATATGGTTTTGGAGTTCTTAAGGTTGTAACCAGTTGAATTAGTGTAACAGCAATTCAATCCTGTTTGAGCAACGCCTTCAAAAGAAAACTGAACAAATTAGGCAGTGGAAGCCAATTCAAATAAAATCCAGCTGCAAACAGCAGGAGAGATACGAATCTTAAATATGGTATTTAAGATTTCAGGGGCCAAACATATTGAGGTTCCATATAGAGTAACTAGGTTCTGTCACCTTGTGGCAAGGCCAATATCAGCCAGTTTAATTGTCCTGTTTCCATTCGTTCTGCTGGTTACACAACCTAAATAATAGAGAAATAATACTTGCCATCAGAGATGTTGTCCCAATATGGAGAAAGGAATTCATATTCTCCAAGCTGGATGATTTCAAATAACTCCTCCTGATCTCGCTCCAGACTGCGAAACGGAGGAAAGCCACACAATAGGATATACAAGATCACTCCTGTGGCCCACATGTCCACCTCTAACCCGTAACCTAGCAAAAGAATAAAATCAGTGAAATGAATGATGTTTGTCTTCCAATAGATAAAAGTTGAGCTACTGCACAACAAGCAAATATTAACCACAGTTGAGAATTACAGCAGCAACGCATTGACCTGAAAATGACAGCAACACTATTCAGCATAAATTTGTAGCTCAAGGATATTGTTAAACTATATTCTTGGCCCAATAGCTCAATTCTGCAGCCTGACTCAATTGGCAGCACTTGCGGTTCTGAGTCAGAAGGATATGGGTTCAAAGTCTCAGGTCAAGACCTTTTGATCATAGTCCAGACTGGCACTCCAATGCAATGCTGGGGAAGCACTGCAATTTTGGAGGTGCCATTCTCCAGATTATAACTTTAAAGAGAGGACCTGCCCGCCTATTCAGATGGATGTTAAAGATCGCATGGAGCAATTTTAAAAGAGAAGGAAATTTCTCCCAGTGTCCTGCTCAAGAATCACCCAAAGTTGGTCATTGACTTCATGGCTGTTCGTGGGGAATTTCTGTATGCAAGTTAGCTGCCATGTTCACCTACAATTATATATGTGGATGCAACCATGGATCCATTTGACATTGCTCTAGGTACCTGTCTCAGATAGGATTTCAGGAGCCACATATGTCGGGGTTCCACATACAGTAAATATCGGTTCTGTCACCTTCACGGCAAGACCAAAGTCCGCCAGTTTCAGTGCTGTGTTTCCATCTGCATCGCACTGAACCTGTCAAGAACAACAACTTTCATTTATATAGTGTCCTTCACACCAGGTACCATTTCAGAGACCTGTCAAAAAGATAATACCACAAAAACATGAAAATCACAACAGCTTTCAGTTACACATTTACTTCTCATAAAAAAAACCATGAATAAGTTAAGAAAACAACAACAACAACAACAACTACAACTTACACTTATACAGCACCCTCCACGCAGGGTAGTGTCTCAGAGTGCTTAACAGTGGCGGAGCCTGACTCCGAGCCGGGGTGGTGGGAGAGGTGGCCGTAAGCACAGTCGAAGAGGAAAATTTTCAGGAAGGACTTGAAAAGGGGGAGAGAGGGGGCAAGGCAGAGGGACTGAGGGAGAGCATTACAGAGTTTCAGGGTGTAGTGGCTGAAAGCGGGACCTCCGATGGTGGGGCGGAGGGTGCAAGGGACAAGCAGGAGGCGAGTGCCAGTCGAGCGGAGGCACCAGGTAGTGGATTGGAGAATGAGGAGGTAGGGAGGTGCCAGGGCGTGAAGGGATTTGAGCACAAGTGTGAGGATCTATTTGGCCCTTGAACAAGACCAACTTGCACTTATATAGCACCCTCCACACAGGGTAGCGCCTCAGAGCGCTTCCCCTCCATAGCCCTCATCATTTATAATGATTTATAATTATATAATTATAATCATTTATAATTATAGTTGGGCTTTTCCAACTCCTCCCTCCACAGGCTACAGATCATCAAGAACTATGCAGCCTGTGTCCTCTCCCGCACTAGGCTCTGTGACCCTATCACCCCCATCCTTGCCCAACTCCACGGGCTTCCCATCACACAGAGGATACAGTTCAAGATCCTGGTCCTTACCTACAAAGCTCTCCACAGTCTTGCTCCCCCTACCTCTCCAACCTCCTAAACCCCTACCACCCTGATCACGCCCTCCACTCAGCGGGCTCTGTCCTGCTTCACGACCCCGCCTTGCTCGCCCCACTATGGCGGGCAGGCCTTCCGCCATTCTGCACCCACCCACTAGAACTCGATCCCGCAGTCCCTCCATCTCGTCCCCTCCCTTGCCACCTTCAAGACCCATCTCAAGATCCTACTTTTCGGCCGTGCCTTCGATCTCCCTGTTTCCCCCCCTGCCCCACCCTGACCTCCAGCTCAGTCTGTAGTCTATAACTCTGTCTGTCCAGCACCTTGGGACGTCCTCCCAACATGAAAGGCGCTATATAAATGTAATGTTGTTGTTGTTATAAGTTATCACTTTTATCTTTGACTGAGCGCAAAATTATAGTCCACAACTATTGTGAGGCGCATGTGCAAAAGCTCACAGTGGTGTGGATAAGCTTATGTGATTAAAGGTGGGAGATGCAGTTTGACTCAGAGAAATGTAAAGTTATAAAATTCATCAGAAGAATGAGCAATGTGGACCATGTACTGAAAGGAAATATACTTTTAATAACAATCGTTACTTTTAATACAGTGCCTTTCACATTGAGAGGATATCGCAAAATGCTTTAAAGGATTTAGTATAAAGTGTAGTAACTGGGTATTTTGTAGGCGAAAATCAGATATTGGAACAGAAGAATAAACTAGAAGTTCGGTCAGTTTGATCTGAAATTTGTTTGTGGAAACAATGATAGTTCAAATTCTTATTGTCCTCAGTTTATATATCTTCATAATAAATATACCATAGCAAAGCACTCCACATATCCACACATGCTATAAACTCAACAAATTCAAAAATATAACTATCATTTCTCAAACATGAAATCATCATCTTATCCATGATTTCTTTCAGTCATTTATACTGTTAGTACGTATGAGTATTTTTAATTAAAATTATTTTTTTCAATCCACTTCTTTCACCTCATTTTCTGATTCTTCAGGTTCATTCTGATATGGTTAATTCCTTGCAATATAACAATAATAATCCTTGCATTTGATATAGCGCTTTTTCACATCTTCTCGACATCTCAAAGCGCTTCACAGAATAGACTGTAAAGTGAATTGACCGTATATTTGTGGGCAAACGCGGCAGCCAATTGTGCACAGCAGTGTCCCACAAACCGTCGTGGATTGAAAATGACCAATGTATTATTGTTTTGTTTTTTGGAGGCATTATTATTAGGCGTGTGGAGTAAAGAAACTTGCCCAAGGTTTCAACCTGCCTGGAATTGAACCCAGGTGTCTCGCTTGCAAGGCGAGTGCTCTAACCACTGAGCTACAGGACTCCACTCCTTATATTTCCTTCTTTTACAAAAATCTGGCAGAAAATTGATATTTGCAAATCATTTTGAAACGTGTTGCAAATCCCAATATTTAGACTGCATAATAATATTGATGCATTTGATGTAGAGTCTTTCACTTTGGGAGAATATCTCAAATTGTTTTGCCAATGAACCGAAAGGTTGTGGGTTGAAGTCCCACGTCGGGACTTTGAATTCACAGTCTAGGTTAATTCTCCAGTACAGTGTTGTGTAGTGCCGCACTGTTGGAGGTGCTGTCCTTCAAATGAGGAATTAAATCAAGGTTCCATCTTCCCTGTTCAGGTAGACATTAAAGATTCCTTGTCAGTTTTCGAAAAAAACGTGAGAGTTTCTCCCAGTGTCCTGCCAACACTCCCCCAGATAAAATTTGTCATTCACTTCAGGGTTGTGTATGGGACATTGTTGTGTGCAAATTGGATGTCATGTTCGCTTACAAAATACAGTTACTACACTTTACAGTAAATCTCATGAGGTGCTTTGAGATGTCCTCCCAACATGAAAGGCACTATACCAAATACAAGGATTATCATTATTGTTACTTATTATTCCAATTTAAGAACAAATCTTATCTTCACAAAATAAGCTTGTAAACGATAGCTCTGTAATTTTACTTACTTCTGGTTTGGCCTTCCTCATTTTTTTGAATCTTGTTCATCTTCCACATACCAATGGATTGGCCCAGTTACCCACTGTGGGGAAATCACAGTGACAAAGTCCCTTTAAGACTTTAACATGATAGGCTTTGTAATTTACTATGTGAAAGAACCCAATGTTCTTTTAACTCCCATGACTTTTTGCTTCACTAAACAATATTCTATGAGATTCTGTGCTATTCTACACCATCACCCCATAGGAGCAATAATGAAGTATAGCAGCAGTGGAGGTCAAAGAACACAGAATGTAAACAAGAATGGATGGTGCCAGAGGAGCCAAATAAATCCGTGCATTCAAAGTTCTGGTAATTCACATGGTGTTAGCCTTAAGGCTGATAACCTAAAATTTAAGATGACATAGAATCTGGAAAATTCTTGAATTCAGACTCACTTTGGAAAAGAGTTTTTGTTATGTAATAAATGCAACTGTATAAAAGCAGCTTCCAAACTGAACTTTAACATTTTCCAAAATTCATCATGAGACGACAATTGTCTTCAAGCTAAGAGCATGGCAAATTTTAGGCTTCAGATGATTAACAATCCATTCAATATTTGCTCTTCATAATTTTCAAATCATCTGAACTCTTCATTCATTTCAAATATACGGTTAATTCTAATCAATTTTGCTAAAAATTTCCAAGCAATCCAAGCAATCAGAAAAATCAGCAGGAATCGAAGGCAATTGCCTGCTATGTAGAAGATAACTGTATTCAAAGAGTGAGGAAGACCAAATCTAACTAATGTAGGCAATGTAAATTTCTGCCTCATTTATTAACCCTTTAAGTATCAATGGACACTATCGCAGTAGTTCCCCGAAATTCTTCACTTTCCAACTCATTGGTATGTGAAAGATAAATGAATAAGGAAGAATGCCACATTGATAATGATAATAAAAATAATAACAATAATAATATTCAATTTCGATATATTCATGGGTCAGTGGATATTTGTCATTACAGTTCGTCTAGACCCGGGTGGTCCAACTGGGCTGCATCCAGCCGCGGGCCAATTTCATCTGGCCCACCTGTTCCCTCCATAACCCGTAAATAGTATGTTATGATTCTGGAATAGAATCACTGCTTATGTGGTCCCCAGATGTTTATCAAATAGGGCATCTGGCCCTCAGCAGCCAAAAGATTGGACCACCCTGTCCAAAAAACTAAAAGTTTAATTGACATGCTACTTACCAAAAGATTTTCTGGTTTCATATCTCTGTGTACGATGTTCTTACTGTGGATATATGCCAAGGCCTTGCAAAGATTGGTTATCATGAAGGCGGCACATTGTTCTGTAAACTTAACATTTTCTGTAATTGCGTCAAATAGGTCCCCTCCATGAACATACTCCATAATGATGTATATCTCAGTATCACTTTCAAACTCTTCAATAAACCTCACAATATTAGGATGTGAAATGCTCTTTACAATTGCAATCTCATTTTTAATCATATCTTCTTTTCCTTTTATCTTTGCTTTATCTATGATTTTCACTGCGTACCACTCTTCTGTATTCCTAAGCCTGCATTCCTTTACTAAAGCAAAGTTGCCATCCCCAATAGTACTGCCAATCTCATAATAACTCTCGATTTCTCTCTGAGGTATGGTTTGTTGTGGTTTTGATGTGAGCATATGTGTTTCCCTTGACTGAGTATCATTGTCTTTTCTGATTATAATTTTTTCTACAGCAAAAGTACTCGGAGGTTGGCTTTGAGCTTCTTTGCATCCCATATCTTTCCACCTTTGGTCTTCTTTATTCCTTAGCTTTTGTTGTCCACAATATTGTTTTCTTTCATCCTTTTGATTCTCCTGTTTTGCATTTTTATAGTTTTCATCTTCTTCATTCAGTAAGCCTTCTGGATGATTATATATTTCTTCCTCTTCATCATTATCTACCTGTTCATGGTATCGCAGTTTCCCATTTTGCCACCTTTCAGATTCCACTTTCACCAACCTGCTCCTGTCTTTCAGTTGCTTCTTTTCCTCTTTTATATTATTTAGCGGCTGTGCTCGCTCAGCATCCAACTTCTTCCCTCTGCTTTTCCTTGTGTATTCTCTTTCTTTCTCTTCAACCTCATAAAGCAAGTTTTGATCACTTCCCTTTTCCCTTTTCTCTTTTTCCCCTTCAAGTTCTGGGACCCAAAATCTCTTGATTTCATCTTTTGTTCTTCTGCACTCACTTCTGCATGTTCCTGTGTCATTCTTGATCTCTCGTTTCATCTCTTCTTGCTTTTGCTTCACCTCTCTTTTATTGATCTTACACTTTTCAATCTCTCTGTCAGCATTAAAGCTTGGGTTTTTTTTCTGTATCCTCTCTTTCTCTTTTTGTTTCTCGGACAGTTCTCTTTTCTCTCTCTCGCTTCTCTCTTGTTCCCATTTCCGAGCCTTTTCTCTTTCTTGTTTTCTGACTGTGGCTCTGACTTTCTCTATGTTTTTAGCTATTTGTCTTGCAGATTTAACACTGCCAATAGGTTTGGAAAGCTCAGGCTCATCTGCCTTTGATCCCTTCTTATCACTGCATTTGTTATAAGGTTTCTGAGACTGAAACCATTGTTGTTGAATCAGGCTCTGGGCACATGGACTGTCAGGATAAAGTTCTTCTAAAACGTCCTGTACATCTACCATAGTCAACTTCTCTCTCCCTGCAGCAATGAACATATCATCTCCTCTGAAGAAGTCAGAAACACTTCTTATTTCTTTCCCTTTCAAAGTGTACAGCGTTTTCACTGATTGACTTTTCCAGCAGGGATGACCCAAAGCTTCTGATATATCAGCAATAAGCTGTTCAAAGGTCTGCATACAGCGTCTATTCAAGAGAATTGTTATCTTCTTGTATGGTTGCCTGCCTGCCTTTACCACTGTCACTACCTTGGGTTTTGCAGGATTAATCTCTGAATGGATAGTGTGATTGTTGTGGACTGAAGTACTGTGACTAGTTGGTGCTAACAAAGATTTTCCACAAGTGCCACGTCCTCCTGGTGGATACGTGGCTCGTAAACTGTTTTCCTGAGACTCGCTGTTTAAGTCATTCAACAGGCCATCGAATGAGGCTTGTTTTTCTGTAGAAAGAGTAAAACAATTTAATCTGTTAAACAGTATTACACTGACTATTTAAGGAATTCACGAGATCAGTTTGGATAAAATAGATCCTTTCATCCCTCCAAAATATAGGCCCAGCCATCCTCTGATCCCAACATTTAACTGAGTTTTAAATGAGTCCACCACACTCCTGGAAACCTGTTTCATATCTTTGAGGTCCTGGGAAAGAAATACTTAGTTAGAGATTGTGCCAGGAGGAATACGATTTTGGGAAGAAAGAAAGATCCAATGATCATAAGAATATTGATAAAACAGAGTGAGAGTGGAGAGTGCCATTAAATGGCAAGAAAATGTACTGCCTACATATCTTTCATCTTTACTGTAGTGATTTGCACTCATGTCGGACACTGAAGCATCTGGCAATGGATCCTCGTTCAAGTCCTGCTACATCTTGTCTTGTCTTATTGATCAACTATTACCCTTTCTACTTGACATGGTTTCTTATTGCTATTCCTCTGAAATCCTATGCTAATGGATATGTCCATTCTAACGTGAAAGGCACTGAAAAATAATCCTTCCATTAAGAAAGCAACTTTAACAACAAATTACATTTGTATAGCACCTTTCACATCAGGAGAACTTTCCCAAGGCGCTGGACAGTCAGGGATACACACACAAGCTGGTGATTGGGATCAGGAGGGGTGGAGGGCGGGGAGGGTAGGGGTGTCTGAAGGCACAGTCGGAGAAGAGAGTTTTGAGACGGGTCTCCATTGAAGGAGGCAAGGGAGGGGGCGAGGTGGAGGGACTACAGGATGGAGTTCCAGAGTGTGGGGGGCAGAGAGGCTGAAGGCCTGCCCGTCAATGGTGGAGCGGCAAAGGTGGGGGACGTGAAGCAGGTCAGAGCCTGCTGAGGGGTGGGAGCAGACAGATTAGGAGGTCACAGAGATAGGGGGGAGCAAGCCCGTGGAGGGCTTTGAAGGTGAGGACCAGGATCTTGAACTGTATCCTCTGCGTGACGGGAAGCCAGTGGAGTTGGGTGAGGATGGGGGTGATAGGGTCGCGAAGCCTGGTGCAGGAGAGAACATGGGCTGCAGAGTTCTGGATGATCTGCTGCCTGTGGAGGGAGGAGTTAGGGAGGGCGACAAGTAGGGAGTTTGCGCAGTTGAGCCTGGATGTGATGAATGCGTGGATGAAGCAGCCCACAGAACTTTGCAGTTTTTAAAGAAATAATAATTTGTTCAATCCATGATTGTTTCTGGGACACTGCTGTGCGCAACTGGCTCCCAATTGGTTTTGCCCTACAAAATATGCAGTCATTTCACTTCACAATATATTCTGTGAAGCACTTTGAGACATCTTGAAGACATGATAAAGCACTATATCAAATGCATTATTATTATTATAATAGTGCCAAAATAATGTCACACAACCGACTCAGTCTTTCCTTTGAATCTTCCAGAGTTGAATAAAAATCTCTAAATATATTTTTCTAAACTCGTCTCCTACCACCCAGTACAAACAGCAGAAATCAACCTTCAAACCTTAAGACTCCCAACGTATCCCTTCAGAAAGAATTAATGAACTGCATCTCAGATGCACTAATTTGCAATGCAGAACAGTGAACAATGAGATACATGGAGGGAAAAATAAAGTCAGTAGTAATTCTCCAGTTTCGTCCAATAAATGCAATAAATAAAACACTTATGACTGAGATGTCTGCAATGATTATTGCTTTTAAAAGAATTACTTTCATCCATCAGAAAAGATAAAGTAATGTAGCAAAATAATAATAATCCTTGCATTTGATGTAGTGACTTATCACATCGTTGAGATGCCTCAAAGGGGTTGACACGATATACTGTAAAGTGGATTGACTGTATTTCGTAGGCGAATGCAGGAACAAATTTGCACACAGGAATGTCCCGCAAACAGCCATGGAGTGAGTGACCAATTTTATTTGGGGGATTATTGGTTAGGTCACCGGGAGAAACTCCCTCCTCTTTTTGAATATGTATCAACAAGTGAAGAATGCTCAGAATCAACACAACACACACTGAATACAGTGACTACTTTATCCTTCAAAGCATTGACATTCGCAACTACACAGGGAAAGGCTGCAGCAAGTCCTGTATCCACACGGTAACTCAGCCTTTGCAATGACGGTTCATGAAACATTCTTTTCACAATCGGTGTTTAAGCAAAGCAAGTCTGGAGACAAATTAAAAATTATTTTAGAAGCTAGACTGTTCACCTCAACTATCTGGGCCCTTCAAAATACTGCAGGTTTCTGTGTACTGTAAACTTTGCTGTTAAAAATTGACTTGTTCGGATTCTCCTAACTATTAGCTGTTAGCAGGCAACGAGTTGCAACTCTTGCAGGGCAACATGAGTAAGAAAGATAATCTTACTGATGTTATTGTGGGGGAAGATATTTTTTTTTTTAAAAATTGCCTGGGGAGGAGGATAGTTTCATTCTTTGAAATTACATACTTCACAATTTCAATCTTAGGATAGGATGATCTTAAGAAGAAAAAAATACACAGATTCTACAGTGAAGCTCTTTGAGATGTTCTTTCAACGTGAAAGGCCCTACATCAAATGCAAAGATTATTATTATTGTAGTTCTGTAAGTGAGTTATTTTTAAAGACAAGCGCTGAATAAGTCCAGCTTGTTTTCCACATGAAGGCCTTGTGGAGGCATTTTTTAAGAGATTACTATCTTACTACCTATTGTATTTGCTTCCTGTTGAACTATTTGCCACCTCAGCTGGATCCACCTTCTTTTGTGTCATTCCTCATCAGTGTGAACATGGGATTTTCTTCTACTGTAATTAGCAGCTACAGCTGAAAGCTCAGTGCATCTCTCACTTCATATGCAACCAGTTCACAAAATGTTAGAGCACACAATTTCACATTTCACAATTTCACATACCACATCTGTTCCTCACCCTTGTATTCAAGTCCCTGCACTCCTCTGCACCTCTCTACCTCTCTGACCTCCTCTCTCCTCAAAACAGTACCCGTTGCCTTCATTCCTCCGGGTCTGGCCTCCTCCTCGTCCCCCGAGTCCTCCGCTCCCCCCTCGGCAGCCGTGCCTTCAGCCACTATGCCCCGAGGCTCTGGAACTGCCTTCCTCACTCCCTTCGTCTTGCTCCCTCCCTTCCTACTTTCAGGTCTCTGCTGAAGACCTTTCTTTTCGACCGCACCTTTCGTCACCTTCCTCCCCCTCCCCCTGGCTCTGCTACTGTGAAGCACTCTGAGACGCCGTCCGGCGTGGAGGGCACTATATAAATCCAAATTGTTGTTGTTGTTGTTGATGATGACAGACCAGCCAGCCTGCCTCATTGGCAAGACTTGGAGAGACAGAACAGGTTAGGGATTCTTCCCATTTGGCTGCTGTTAATATTGCAAGTCAAAACACTAATAGATAGTTTGTTTACCCAGCAGTTAGTAGGAATCTGTAGTCAATTGGCAAATTGCTTTTCTGGGGGTAATAATTCCTTCACAAAAAAAATTGGTTACTTCAATCCACGAATGTTTGTGGGACACTACTATGTGCAATTGGCTGCCATGTTTCGCCCACAAATTATACAGTCAATTCACTTTACAGTATATTCTGTGAAGCGCTTTGAGATAAGTCGCTATATCAAATGCAAGGATTATTATTATTAGAGTGTCTTCCTAACTGGTCAAGCAGTGGGAAGCCTTGTCAGACAGTATTTTCGATAGCAAGCTATGCAGTTTTAGTTAATTAAACTCCAGTATTTTCAACACACATTCTGGGAGTCCCAAAGTCATGGATATCGTCAACCTATGCCTAATACTCTCCGGATTAGATAAGCAGGGTGTGTCCCTCCAGGGAGAGAGTGCACATTGCAGTCGAGACACCGGGAAATGTCCATGGGTAAGTGGCATAAATATGTGGAGCTCTCAGTCTGATTTGGATATACTTAAGCAGAGTGAAGGGTTTCTGCATAACCCAATGATCAAAAAATTAAGGTCTTGATAATGTAACTTTTATTGGAATTGTGTCATTAGCAAATCTAGCTCAGACACAAGTCATGTACACGGTACAAAAGTAAGTTAGTAAGTACCTTTACTAACATGGTCACATTATTCTTTGTATCAACAATTATAACTTTTCAGTACTTTCTAAATGTTTGCCTGATGATCTTTAAATGTATTTATCCTAACTTTTGTGCCATATCTATCAACCTTAAAACTTTGATCGAATGGGTTAAAGCATCTGCTTTCTACTGATGGCTGGAGACTAATAGAAAAATGGTTGGTTAAAAGGCTCTCTGAGCACTCATGTGAAATAGAAGAGATCAGCCTGGCTGTTCCGGCATATATAGTAACAACTCAGATCTGGTTAATTCAATACAGTTAACATAAGCCGGGAGTAGAATCCTTTTTCTCTGCATAAATGACACTACAGTGTATCAGCCTGTATTTGTTTTAACTTCAATTAAAACTTCTGTGTGAAGTACACAATACAAACACATTGTATTTTTCAAGTGCATTGTGACATTTCACTAAATACCAGATAAATGACACTAAAATAAATATTATAGTCCATTTTGACACTATTTTTGCCTCTAAAAAACAGCTCAAAAACATTACATTACACATTATTAAATTAAGCTAACATCAACTAATACAGTCATTCAGAAAGTACTGTTTTACATATTACTTTTACAGATTCATCAATAATACTTACAGGAGGTACTACGATGAATGCTTTGTACAGTATTAATAAGAATTAATATCAAAATAGTAAAGTAATCCCTTAGTAAGCAAAATGTAGACAATGATTTGAATTGAACTGCTATATAACTCACCAAAGCATTTCCAGAGATAGTGTGAGGTGGTGCTAGCAGGATATATGCCATCATGCACTACTGGCATTGGACAATGGTTATGAATCGCTGGTTTAATACTACTTCTAACTATTTACTGTCAGCCTTTCGCCACTGAAATGTTCTGTGATCTCCCCCACCGTTCACAACTGAAACCTCTTCAGAGTTAGCAAGACACTGAAGTCCACAGAGAGGAAAAACCCCACAAAGAGCACTCTTTGTTCCACTGTTGGAAGGTGGCTAAGGAAGCTGGAGGCGGAGTCTGGTATCCTGCTGGAATAAATTCAGAAAGTGCCAGGCAACAGAATTGCTGGCTTGGAACAATGCAGTACAAATCAGTCGACCACATTTATTTGCAAAGAGTTTAAAAGAGGGTTCAAAAGTAACCCGGCAACAGTAACAGCCTGGACACTTGCGACAACTGGGGATTTGACTTTTTGTCTGAAACAACACGTAGCAGCTTGTGAACGTGTTGGGAACGGGGAGAGGGTTTGCCGAGTGTAGAAATGGGAACTGGAGTAAATCCTGTTTTGAGATGTCAGAATCAGAACGTTTATACTTATGGGGAGAATTACAACACTCCCAAAAGGGGGGGAGATAAAAATAATAATAATATTATTAATAATCCTTGCATTTGATATAGCGCCGTATCACATCCTTGAGATGTCTCAAAGCACTTTGCAGAATATATTGTAAAGTGAATTGATTGTGTATTTTGTGGGCAAACCACGGCAGCCAATTGCGCACAGCAGTGCCCCACAAACAGTCGTGGATTGAGTGACACAATTTTTTTTGTAATTTACTTGGAACTCATTTAGTCACATTTAATCAAAACATATCCAATGTGGTTCAATCATTTGAGCACCACACCAAACAACAGAAGTGCTAGGTTCAAATCCCCTTTATTTAGCCCTTCACTCTTTCAAGTTTGATATAAAAAAAGTAATATGCTAACAGATAGGGTGGACAGCTGACATGCTTTGTTGCTACATGAAAACATTTTAATTATTTAAATAATATAAATATAATAATCCTTGCTCTTGACATAGTGCTATTCACATCTTCTAGACGTCTCAAAGCACTTCACAGAATATGCTGTAAAGTGAATTGACTGAACACTTGGAGCAAAACACGGCAGCCAATTGCGCACAGCAGTGTCCTACAAACAATCGTGGATTGAAGTGACCAATTTATTATTGTTTTTGTTGAGAGATTATTATTAGGCGTGCAGAGTGAGGAACCTTGCCCAAGGTTTTGCTCTGCCGGGAATCAAACCCAGGTCTCTCGTTTGCGAGGCGAGTGCTCTAACCACTGAGCTACAGGACTCCACTAAATGTTTTGTAAAAAAAATTCCTTTACTTATAGTAAATTAATGGGTTCACTCAGAAAAATATATATTTAACAATATAGGCTAAAAGTTTTACACAAAGCAAATCCTATAGCTGTCAGATTTGTTTCAAGCAAAGCTGCTGGAACTCCATCCTGGATACCCACCCCTCTCCACCCCAACCCACTCACCCACTCCCTTTCCACTTTCAAAGCCTGCCTTAAAACGTACCCATCTGACCATGATTTTGGTGAACTTTCCCCTCCCCATGCTCTTCAGCTCCCAGATACCAGCTTGGATGCCCAACCAGCAGTGTAAAGCACTTTGAGACATCTTCCTTTTTGACTTCCTTAAGCCTGATTGAGGTCAGGCTTTTTCAACACTGACGGTAACTTAGATTGAAAAATTACGGTAAATTGAATTGGTAAATGCCCCATCTTGCAGGTACCATCAAAGCTGTTGAGGCATTTACAACTCAATTTACCAATATCTAAATTACAATCAGTATTGAAAAAGGCTGATCCCTGTATTATAGCAATATTAAAAAAAATTGCATTTAATACAGTGCATTACCATGGGTCGAGACGTCTCAAAACTCTTCACAGGATATACTATAAAGCTGTGTATCTTGTGGGCAAACTTGGCAGCCATTTTGCACACAGCAATGTCCCACAAGCAGTTATAATAATCCTTGCATTTGGTATAGCGTCTTTTACATTGGAAGGATGTCCCAAACGGCTTCACAGGCTATACTGTGTGTTTTGTGGACAAACACCCAGACAATTATAAACAACAATGTCCCAAACACAGCCATGAAATGAATGAATAATTTAGTATGGGGACTGTTGGTCAGGAGACCGGGATAAAGTCCCTTCTCTTTTTGAATAGTATTCAGGTAGTCAGGTAGTCCAGGCTACCATCTCACCTGAAGGCGGCATCTCGAACAATGCAGCACACCCCAGAATTGCATTGGGGTGGCAGCTTAGACTACATGAATTCAATTCCCCAATGTGGGGCTTGATCCCACAACCTTCTGACTCAGGAGGCGAGAGTGCTACCAACTGAGCCATGCAGACACACAAATCATCATGAATCAACTTTATTGCATATTGTCAAGTCAAGCAAGCAAGAACTCTCCTCAGTAGGTACAATGGCTGGGTGGGTACCACAGTAGGGTAGATTTTACATGTTTTTGAGAAGGAATGTATTTGTTGAGCAGAGTAGCCCTTTCTTCCTTTGTAATTTAAAAAGTAGCTTAATGCTGTGATATAAGGGGACAGTAGGGTGGCTATTCTGAAAAGATGAGATGAGATGGGCCGAAGGGCTTTCTTCATCCAAACCAATCTTATGTTCTTAACGTCCAAAAAACTACCGGTCTGTAAGCATCTTGTCTTAACATCCAGGGTTCAGCAGACCGGCCCCCAACATATTCCCAGTTTTCCCTTCATTTTTCTATAAGATTGGTTATAGTGAGGACAAAACGTATAATGTAGTGGTCAGCACGTTCACCTCGCAAGCGAGCAGACCCAGGATTGATTCCCAGACAGGGCAAAACCTTAGGCAAGTTTCCTTACTCCACATGTCTCTGTTTTTCTAGCAGTAAATAGGAACCTGGTTGTTTAAATCAATTGGCGGATCATTTTCCAGGGGTAATAATCCCTAAAAAAAGGTTGGGTCACTCAATACATGATTGTTTGTGGGATATTGCTGTGTGCAATTGGCTGCCATGTTTCACCCACAAATACACAGTCAATTCACTTTACAATATATTCTGTGAAGCACTGTGAGAGCTATCAATGTTGTGATAAGGGGCTAAATGAAAAGCAAGAATTATTATTAAATGTGGCAATTCCAAAAGGTGGCTTTAGTCGTCAGCAAATGAGGCAATTTCATTCCTGACACTCTCCCAACATGGTGCACCAAGATACAACAACAACTTGCACTTAGATAGCGCCCTCCAGGCAGGGTAGCATCTCAGAGCGCTTAACAGCGATGGAGCCTGACTCTGAGCCGAGGGGGAGATGTGGCCATAGGCAAGGTCAAACAGGAAGGTTTTCAGGCAGGACTTGAGAAAGGGGAGAGAGGGGGCAAGGCAGAGGGATTGAGGGAGAGTGCTCCAGAGTTTCGGGGGGAAGTGGCTGAAAGTGCGACCTCCGATGGTGGGGTGGAGGGTGTAAGAGATGAGCAGGAGGCTGGTGCCAGTCGAGCAGAGGCACCAGGTGGTGGATTGGGGAATGAGGAAGTCAGAGAGGTAGGGAGGTGCTAAAGAGTGAAGGGATTTGAACACGAGTATGAGGAGCTTGAAGTTGATCCATTCGCTGATGAGAGCCAGTGGAGCCTGGCCAGGACTGGTGAGAAGTGAGTATGGAGTTTGGCTTGGGTCAGTATGTGATCCAAACCAGTATGGGCCAGTCGAGCGGAGGCACCAGGTGGATTGGGGAATGAGGAGGTCGGAGAGGTAAGGAGGTGCCAGGGAGTGAAGGGATTTGAACACAACTGTGCGGATCCATTTGGCTATTTGGCCCATCAACAAGAACAAGTTGCACTTATATAGCGCCCTCCACACAGGGTAGCGCCTCAGAGCGCTTCCTCTCCATAGCTCTCATCATTTATAATGATTTATAATTATATAATTATAATCATTTATAATTATAGTTAGGCCTTCCCAACTTCTCCCTCCATAGGCTACAGATGATCCAGAACTCTGCAGCCTGTGTCCTCTCCCGCACTAGGCACTGCGACCCTATCACCCCCATCCTTGCCCAACTCCACGGGCTTCCCGTCACACAGAGGATACAGTTCAAGATCCTGATCCTTACCTTCAAAGCCCTCCACGGTGTTGTTCCCCCTACCTCTCCAACCTCCTAACTCCCTACCACCCTGATCACTCCCTCCACTCAGCGGGTTCTGTCCTGCTTCACGTCCCCCGCCTTGCTCGCCCCACTATGGCAGGCAGGCCTTCCGCCATTCTGCACCCACCCACTAGAACTCGATCCCGCAGTCCCTCCATCTCGTCCCCTCCCTTGCCACCTTCAAGACCCATCTCAAGATCCTACTTTTCGGCCGTGCCTTCGATCTCCCTGCTTCCTCCCCTGCCCTCCACCCTCCCCCACCCTGACCTCCAGCTCAGTCTGTAGTCTATAACTCTGTCTGTCCAGCACCTTGGGACGTCCTCCCAACATGGAAGGCACTATATAAATGTAATTTTGTTGTTGTTGTTATAAGTTATCACTTTTATCTTTGATTGAGCTCAAAATTATAGTCCGCAACTATTGTGAGGCGCATGTGCGAAAGCTCACAGTGGTGAGGATAAGTTTATGTGATTAAAGGTGGGAGATGCAGTTTGACTCAGAGAAATGTAAAGTTACAACAACAACAACAACAAGATTCCATTTATAGAGCGCCTTTCACGTCAGGAGGACGTCCCAAGGCGCTGCACAGTTGGGTCATGACCCGAGCAGGGGGAAATGGTCAGGGTGAGGGGAGGGAAGGGAGGGAGAGAGGAGGGGGGAAATGGTCAGGGTGAGGGGAGGGAAGGGAGGGAGCGAGGAGGAGGAAGAGAGTCGAGAGGGGAGCTGAAGGCACGGTCAAAGAGAAAGGTTTTGAGACCGGCCTTGAAGGAGGAAAGGGAGGAAGCAAGGCGAAGGCACTGGGGGATGGAGTTCCAGAGCCTGGGGCTGAGAGGCTGAAGGCCCGACCACCGATGGTAGGGCGGTTGGGGC